CCGGAAACCGTCGTTCCGCAGAGCTTGACTGGCCAGGTTCGGACCCACCCTTTGTATTGAAAAGGACAACATTTCGCGCTTCCGCTCTCTCAAACACGCACTTTGTACGAGACTTCCTTCCAAAGTGAATGTCGAACACCTGCAATACGAAGCAATTCTGCGAGACTTCCTCCCAACATGTAACTGGAAGACATGATCCAACCAAACATGAAAGTGCCGTTTACATTAGGGGAACGATCCTGAAGTTGCAAAACACAATGAAATTCCAGCCACAACTCATCCACCAGCAACACTTGCAGTCACACTTACAGTGTGGAAACCATCCAGGGGTTGCAAAACACAATGGAATACATCGACACACGAAAGAAACAGGTGAAAACTCTAGTTACAATGAAGGGAAGATTCGAGCACGATCCGAACATGATGCGAGACCGTCCGGAAACCGTCGTTCCGCAGAGCTTGACTTTCAAGATTCGGAGCCACCCTTTGTATTGAAAAACACAACATTTCGTGCTTCCGCTATTTCTCAAACACGCACTTTGTACGAGACTACCTTTCAAAGTGCATGTTGAACACCTGCAAAACCAGAGCTAGAGCCAACTAAAGCTAGAGCTGACTGGAGTTAGAGCCAACTAAAGCTAGAGCTGACTGGAGCTAAAGTGGAGCTAGAGAGCTGACTGGAGTTAGAGCTAACTAAAGCTAGAGCTGAATGGAGCTAAAGTGGAGCTAGAGAGCTGACTGAAACTACAGCTAACTAAAGCTAGAGCTGTTGAAAGTCCGTAACACGGAAGTTTTGCACCCTAAACTTCCTTTGAATAATGGCCATAGCCAAGTAGTTATACGGGGAAACAATGATAGATGTATATTTCAACACATGGGGTAGACCCCGTGTTAATTGCAATGTCCAGAAGTCACGTTATTGTTGTTTGCTCTTATTATTTTCTCAGGCGGTGGGCTCTCTGCAGTGGAAATGTGAACTGTCCAGCTTTCGGTAAGCATCCTTGGTCGAAAGTCACCAGATGTAGTTGTTCCTTTAATTTTGCATTAGATTCCTTCCATGTCCTTTCATTTCGCATTCATGTCCTCTTATTTTCCGTTCATGTCCTTTCATGTTCCTTTCACTTTGCATTCATGTCCTTTGATGTTCCATTCGTTTTGTATTCATGTCCTTTCAGTTTCCTTCAACATGTGATATGTTCAAGCCTCCCAAGCTTTTGCATGTTTTATTTGTTTGTTATCGTTCTGTCATCGTTTTGGAGGCCAGTACAGTACAGGTTGCCATCTTCAGTTTTCATGAACATGTACAGTTCGCTACTTTACTCTTATGGTTTTCTGGGCCAGCAATGCATTATATAGTTGTGTTAAGGTGCATGCCAATACTAAAACGCTGAGTGCGGGGTTGTTTCACTAGCCCACATATTTTTTGCACATGTATATTGTATAGCTGATGTTGGAGGACACAACATCTGTGTTATCCACTGTCAAAAGTACACGTGCATTAAAGAAGGATAACAGCAACACAAAACAAAGAACACATATAAAAACAATGGGGAAAGCAAAGGCAACCGGCAAAAAGAACACATAGTTCATTCCATAAAGCCGTGAAACATCTCAACGCAAACACGCACTCTTCTACACCTCGATTGAGTGTGACTTTAGTCAGAAGGTCCATCTGTCAAGGTACTTGAGTTGGATTTTCTTCTGTGAGCCTTCTTGTATTTCTGCGATCCCTTCTCATCTTTCTTCTGTGACAATTCTTTGTAGAGCCGCTAGCACCAGCCACTCAATGGTCTTCCTCCACGTTCACTCTCCTCGAGGGCCCAAGTCCGTCGAAGGCCTCATTAGTAAGGTCGTCCGCCCATTGATTCTCCTCTCTTTGCCATCCTCAACAAGCACTGCTCAAGGAGCCACCGCCCTATCCTCGCCAAACCTCTGCGTCAAGCCGAATTGGCCACTTCCTGGAGACCAAATGCTCCTTCTTCGGTAGGCCGCCCGTGCTCCGCCCGCCCAGCTGGTCTGCATCTCCTCAGCCCAGCAGGTGTCCTTGGCAGCTCCTGGAACCCCGACGCTCCAGAAACCTCAACGTTCGGTTTACCCGTGGCTTCCTGGACCTCATGGCCGCACGTTCACCCCGTGAAACGACGGGTAAACCGGTTTTTAAACATGACAAGGTCATGAGCAAAACAAAAACAGCAAACAATAACACGGAAGTAGTTCTTGTAGGCTGTTATAAAAAAAAAACAATAGAAAACAGTAAGACAACATGAGCAAATGAAGAACATGCATGTTAGAAGAAAACAGGAAACACAGGGCAGCAATAGCAAAACAACAAGGCAACAAAGCAAGAGTTTATCTTGGCGTCCTCATGTACTGCAACTTTGCACTAACCGACGAGTTGGATGAAGCCTGGCATTCTGATCTTTGCAAGGTGGCACGAGTGAAACAAAAACAATTATGCCACTGCCTGTACCCCATCCATCTACATCTGGACATCTACATCTGGACACCCAAAAATCACCTCTTGAAATACTTGGACATCAACTGATGACAAGCTCGGAGAAGCGCGTACGGGATCCGAAAAAGGGATGCTCCATCCAAGGCGGCCAACTCTCCCTCCCACCGGGCCCTCTGTCCAGGCAACACATCGTGTTGAAAGCGAAGCTCGAGAAGGTTGGCACCTCAAGAAGGTTGAAGAAACACCCCGGTGACGCCGATGGCAAAAGCTGGGAGAGTTCAGAGTTCATCGTGCTGCTAGACCGTTGTACCTGACATGTGATCCCAGAAGGCTTGGGACTAGCACCAAGAGAGGTTGAACAGCCCTACCACCAACGAGGATCCTAACGTTCAGGTCTCAACCTCTCTTGGCAATAATGATTCTAGGGGGTTATGATGGTTACAGTATGATATGTTCTCTCCAGTTCACGATGGCTGTTTGGCTGTTTGTTAATTCGTTTTGTGGGAAACAGCACCAATCTGCTGAGGTCCACGTAGATGTTAGACCCCCCAGGAGTATGATACCTTTTAAGCTCGCGCGTTGTAGGAGTCACATACTGCAAAAAATGACTTGATGTCCATGTAATGCATTCGGCCATTGATCAAGTCTTACAACCACTTATATACTACCTCTCGCACATCGGTCCACGAGTCGATGTTCACTAGATTCACACATGCCCATGGTTCCCCTACATCCAACCACTTGCAAAAGTGCACAAATCTGGCAGATACGTGGTGCACGTATTGATGACGTAATTATGATAAGGTAGGGAGTATAGTTGGTGTCTTTCAAAGGTGTCCCCAAAGGTCATAAACGGTCACACAAAAATGAACAGCACACGAATGAGTATTAATACATCCATAAACATTAGGCCAAAACTTTTCGTTCACTTCCCAACAAGAGGGTGGTATCTCAAGCCTTTGTTGGAAGCAGCAGTTTGAAACTTGTCAGGAGCTGAACATACTTATCATAAACATCCACGTTGTTCATAGTGGGTTGGCATGGGTTGACAAATGTCCGAGCAGTGTGACGCGGGAAGTCCCTCGTCGCAGGAGAACAACCCGAAAATTCATCAAACCGGACCTTTAGCCGATGAACTGTCCTGGAGAGGATGACAGCCGCAGCCTGGCCAACCTGGTTGAAGATGGGTGGCTTCAATGTTCAGATCCTCCATCACTGACATCGGGATGGGTCAAACCTAAAGCCCCGGCCCTAACACCATGTAGCTTGACCTCCCGTCGGTAGGTCAATCGAGGTCTCTCCCGCTTTTTCCGAGGTATTCCCTCCACGTTTCGCACGTCTTCCGCTCGCCTTGGATGCGGCAAGCCTTCTGCACTTCCATCTCCAGCACATTGTCCGGTAGTGGAAGCCAAGACGAGAGCAGTTGGATCTGCTTGCTCCACCTGGACGGATCAAAACCATTGGGATCGAGGAAAGTTTAGTGGGGAGGCCACAGAAGGAAACTCTGGATAGTTCAACCTCCCCAGGCCGTTTTTCCAGAGCCTTTACAATCCATGTCTGGGCTTCGGTTCTATTGAACGCTCGAGATCCACATGATGGCGGATTTTCAAATCGCTGGGAACAGATGGTGGACTTTGATGGCAGATTGGGGAACTTGAGATGCATTTGGGGAAACATACGGTTCACTGGGGTTGATTTGCGAAGACAGGCTCCGCCAGATTTGCTCCAAAAAACAAACAACGGGTTCTGGTCTTTTGGGGGGAACTAAACCAATCCATACAAGTCGTCTGTGACCCATAGCAACCAAAACAACAACCATGTACTGTATATATAAGGATCCAACAGAGACAAACCGGGCCTGCTATCCCTGTTATGATTGTTTTTCCAAAATTGCCAGCATTTTTTCCATAATCTGTCTTGTGCGCGTGCCACTGGCTTCTATCACCAACTCTGACAGCAAAAAACATGTGTTTAGATCTTTCAGCTTCAAAGCTTAGACTGTCAGCTTTTGCACAACTGCTAGACTCAAACATCTCCAAGCACTTAGTAGTCATCTGCTATCGCCACAGAATAAGCCGGATCCGCGATACCAGTAGAATGATTCTATCACCATCTATCATATCAAGCCCTTCTTTTCCTACCACCCTTCTTGTCTCCATGTGTTTTTGGTAGAATGATTCTGTCATCATCTTATCACCAGCCTCCCATCCTACCATATTCATTCGATCACCTTCTAGCACCAAACTCCTCACCTCGAAAAACAACAGCCGACTGAGCCACCGGTGGGCCAAACTCGGCGGCGCCATGC